GAGTGCATCGAAGGCTTTCTGTTCCTGCACTCCCCAAATTACTTTGTTAGGGGCTCTCTTTTTAGTCAGTTCAGTTAATGGTCCTGCTATCTCGGAGTACTTGTGGACGAAATCTCTGTAATAGCCCGTAAGTCCAAGGAAAGAGCGTACTTCTTTTTTCGTCTGTGGGCGCTTGGCTGCCCGTATTTTATCAAGGGTTTCGATCTGGGGTTTGATGATGCCATTTTCGACGTGATGACCGAGGAACTTTACTGACTGCTGACCAATCTCACTTTTCGTTGGTCGAATCGTCAACCCGGATTCGCTAACTCGTTGAAGAAAGGCTTCAAGTGTGGCCACGTGTTCTGTCCACGTCTCGGTTGCAACGAGCACATCGTCGAAGTAAAAGTAAATATGGGGTATATCTGCTACCACCTTCCTCATTAGACGGTTGAAGACAGCTGGGGCGGTTTTAATGCCAAACGGCATGAAACGAAACTGATAAAGGCCTGCTGATGTAGAAAACGCTGTCATTGCTTTGGACTCTTCATGCATCGGGACTTGCCAATACCCTTTAGCAAAGTCGAACTTAGAAAAATATCGTGCCTTCCCCAGTTGTCCAAAAATAACATCAACTCGAGGTATGGGCTCATTGTCGTTCAGCAGTATCTTGTTGAGTTGCCGGAAGTCAATGCATAGACGTATTGTCCCGTCTTTTTTCTTGACAACTACTATCGGCGACTGGTAGGGAGACTCAGATGGCTCGATGATGCCTTGCTTCAGCATGTCTCTAATTTCTTGTTGAACTGCCTCTTTGGTAGCAAACGGTAGTGGATACGGCCGTATGTTCACTGGTGTATCCGTTGCGACATTCAACTTGCACTGGGTGAGATGTGTTCTGCCGGGAATGTCGGTGAATACATTCTCGTAGGTATGCAGTATTCTAGCGATCTGCGTGCGCTGTTTAGTAGAGAGTGCTTCCGATATGTTCACATCGGCAGCAGATTCTTTTTGCTGAAAAGGTACGCATGGTAGATCGTCGTGCTCAGTATCATCAGCCAGACACGCGACTGACGCTTCTTTTGTTGGCTGTGGTACCGATGGTCGTTCTTGATATTTTTTGAGGAGGTTGACGTGAAACAGAGATGTTCGCGTTCCTAAATCAATAACGTAATCCACGTCATTCTTCCTCTCTAGAACTGTGAAAGGTCCTTTCCATGTTAGAATCAGTTTGTTGTTGTCCGACGGGAGTAGCAGCAGCACCTTGTCTCCAACAGCTAAACGCCGTGGTCTAGTCTTCATGTCATAGTGCTTCTTCTGCACAAGTTTGGCTTTCTGCAGCTCCTCCTTGGCTAGACGACAAGTGTTTTCAAGACGTCTCCGCAGGTCAACTACATAGCCGTACGAGGTCTTCGTCTCATCATCTAGATGATTACCAGTCCACATCTCTTTCAATATTGACATGGGCCCTCTGACGTAACGGCCATACAGTAAGTCAAACGGGGCGAAGCCCAAACTTGACTGCGGAACTTCTCTATAGGCGAAAAGTAAAGGCGCTAAGTACCGGTCCCAACTTTTCGGGCACTCTTGACACATTCGTCTTATCATTCGTTTAAGTGTGCCATTGAACCTCTCGACAAGACCATTTGCCATGGGATGATATGGTGTCGTCGGCAACTGTGTGAAGGATAGAAGCCTGCTGAATTCGCGCATTAGGTGGGACGTAAAAGACGTGCCTCGGTCGCTGATGATTTCCTGAGGTACCCCCACTCGCGAGAACATCTCCAACAGTGCTTCAGCGATCCTTTCTGTTTCAATGCTTGGCAGCGCCACCGCATCAGGATACCGCGTTGCCATGTCCACCATTGTCAAAACGTATCTATTCCCTTTTTCTGACTTGGGAGATAATGGTCCCACAATGTCAATGGCCACTCTCTTAAACGGTGTATCAATGACGGGGGTTTTACCCAACGGTACTCGCCCAACTAAGTGTTTTGGGAAAGTTCTCTGGCACGTGTCGCACGATTTCACAAATCGTGTGATGTCAGAAAGTACCCCTGGCCAATAGAACTCCTCGAGGATACGGTCTGTTGTGCGTTTTATACCCTGATGGCCCGCAAGAATTCCTTCATGAGCCATTTGCATTACACAATGGCGGAGGGCTGTAGGTACAACAAGTTGTTCAGTTTCTCTCTTCGATCTGAGCTTGTACCTCCTGTATAGAATTTCTTCTTTTGTAAAGAAAAGAATCTCGGCAAACCTGGTCTGGATGGGTTTATCGACGGCCTCAAAGCATTTCTGTAAGCTAGCGTCATCCCTCTGACTTTTCTGCAAGTCACGTGCACTCATATCTAGGGGACTTATTGTTGGTACCGGCAGGCGACCAGAACTCTGTCCGACTGTCGCGGCGACTTCGTTTTCCTTTGATTGCCTCGCAACCGAAGTGAATGCATCTGTAGTATAAGATCCAGTCAGCGATCCGTCGTCCGCTCCCACCCTAGATGATATTTTCATCGGACTAGCTGGACGTAGGTGTCTTTTCCAATCTTGATCAGGATCGGAGGCGTCACGGACCCCTTGGACGTTTCCCAGAACGACGTCATACAGTGGGTCATCCATGCAGATCGCGCGAGTCTTGCCTGAGAAAAAGGGTGAAATAATTCGCACGTCTGCCTCCGGCAGTTTCAGTACCCTTCGATCAAGAAGACACACAGAGGAAACTTTCCCCGTCAGATTGCTGACTGGTACAAGGGACCTTCTCACAATAACCGAGTCGCATCCTGTATCCCGTAAGACCGTAACGGGCTGGTTTTCAAGGACGCCTTCGGCCGTAGGCATAGACTTGTCCTCCCACTTGATTCTCGTACGTTTCGAGCAATCAGTACCTTGCCGGGAAGCCTGTGTCTCCTGGTTTGATGCTTTCGGACCTTCTGCTTGCTCTTTCAGGCACGAGGCTTTACCGCTTCCCTTGTTAGGGCAGTCCTCTTTGCTATGCCCACTACGTCTACATTTTCCGCAGAAGGCTGGTTTTGTCCTTGGCCCTTTAGTATTTGCCCAGCAATCTGAGGCCTTATGACCGCGCTTTCCACAAAGCAAACAATGTGGTTTGTCCTTTTCCTCTTTCCGTAGTGCGGCCTGCGCTCGATCTGGTGGCTTTTTATGGTCCTTGTCGTCCTTACCTTTACCAAGGTTGACGAAACCCTGCGCCTCCATATAATGATCAGTAGCTTCTACTAGCTTTTCAATTCCTCGGCAATCCCTTTCCCGCAGGAAGATTGCCAGCTTCTCGTGGCACTGCGTGATGAATTGCTCTGAAACAATAACGTCTCGTAGAGCTTCGTACGTCCGTTCGGTCTTGGCCATCTCTTGCCAATGGTCGAAATAACCTAGTAATCGCCCAGCGAACTGTCGACCCGTTTCGCAGTCCTCAGGCTTCGCCGACCGAAACTTAGTGCGGTAGCCCTCCTCTGTAAACCGGAAGCGCTGCAACAACGTTTTCTTTAACGTTGCGTAATCCATGGCATGGTCAGGTGCCATTCTGCCAACAACACTTAGCGCTTCACCTGTCAAACAAAGGCTCAGTGAAAGGGCCCACTTGTCTTGCGGCCAATCCTGGCTCCTGGCGACGCGTTCAAAGCGCTGGATGTACGCGTCCAGCTCGTCGCGAACTTCGTTGAAGGGCGGTATGAGTTTGTGCGGACTTTCGTAGCTTTGAGGAGAACCCATGTGCGGACCCTCTACTGATTGACCTGTAGTCACGCTACCCGTTGTCGCATCTAACTCTCGGAGCTTCAACCTTAGTTCGAGAACCTCCTTTTCTGCTTGTAGCCTCGCCAGTGCCTCGGCATCAGCTTCTTTTGCCGCATTGCGTTCGGCTAAACGTACTTCCCGCGCTTCTCGTTCACGTACGCGCTCCTCATCGATCCACTGCTTTAGCCCTGGACCGCTCAACCCCAGTTCCTTTCCAATTGCTGTGAGCTTGTCCGTCTCCATCGTCAACCGTCAGACCCGCATAAGCGACGCGCTGCTCTTTTATAGAATAAGAGCGGTCCTGTCGCGCGGACGCCAGATGTGATGTTTGTTGGTGAGGTTCGTCGCGCCGCAGAGCGTGTGACGCGTTGCGGATGGAGGAGACGGTATCTGACGTTAACAAACCACACTACAATTGTATTTGACAGCATACACACACGAAATACATAAAGCGGCAGCGTACACTACTAGTCAGTTGTCTCACGTGGCGGTGCTTGGGGACCAGGAGGCTGTGGGCTGGTTGCGTCCCTGTGATGACGTAATCGTCGTCGGGTAGATGTCCGGTGTGGAAACGACGTAGCAGCAGCAGGGGTTAAGGGCCGAGTGAACGAACCGTCGCTCGGTAGCCGGTAGCCAGACAGGGCTCGTCCGCGCCAGGCCAGGACCTTGCGACGCTCGTCTCGACGGCGGTGGACAATCTGGAACCTCGCGCGTAGGTGCGGGTTCTCCGAGAGCAGCAGGCCGCGCCCCAGGTCTTGCCAGGCGAGGACCGTGAGGCGCTCGCTGTCCCGAAGACAGGCGCCCTGTGTATGCGAACCTCGCGCGTAGATGCGGGTTCTCCAACAACCTGCCGCCCGTTCTGCCGGCGTTCCAAAAAAAAACTGTCTCGCCTGCGCGCGCCCTTCTTAATCTTCTCTGCAGCCCGAGCTCCTTCGTTTTTCTCGCCTTCCAGCGATCGGCCACTCCGTCGTCTGCTCTCGCTTTCCCTGCTTCGTCACACTGGCTAACACACTCTCCTATTACGTCGTATGTCTAAACATTTCCGTGGAGGTTGCATCCTTGCCGTGGTCTAGAACACATTACTTGTCTCACGATTGCGGTCACACATATGTACCCATATATGCACGACGACTTTTCCTGGTCTACGTTTTTATGCATGTGATTAAGCAAGGTCTCCCGACAGTTTCTTGCTTTCAGGTCTTCGTTCTGCATCGTATTTACTCTTGAGGAGTACCGATGTGATAATATTGATTTATTTATTGATTGTGCAGGGACCCGAACGACAAGCTGCCCACCAAGGGTTCGGGCAACAGCAACCACTCCAGCAAGTCGGGCTCGGACTCCGGCGGCTGCATGAGTCCCCCGGACAGCAGCACCCTGCTCAAGTCGGACCGGCAGCACGGAGGTAGCAACAAGACTTCCCCTCCTCCCCCTTCGTCCATTCTCTCTTCCGGTGGTGTGCCGCACCACCTGCACCTGGGTGGACTTCCGGGCAGCCCCGTGACGCCCACCACAGAACTGTCACTGCACCATCCACACAGCATGAACGGACTGTTCGGCTCGGACCTGAAAAGCCCGTCGTCGACTGGCGCCCCGGTACTGGCACCATCGGTGCATCCGACGTCTACCCTGACGGCAGCAGCCGCTGCTGCGGCGGCCGCGGCGGCTTCCGGAGGCGGCGACCCCAGTTCCGTACTCCCGGGGACCGGGGCGAGCGGGTTCCGGCTTGGACACCCGCTGGTGTCGGCCGCGGCACTGAGCGACCTCAGCCTGGGTCTGACGCCAGACTACCAGGCCTTATGACAATCAGTCGCGGGGACCGCCGCCGGAGAATCGGCGTGGTCCCCGCTCTGTCTGCTGCCCCCCGAGCCGCACCTCATGGCGGCGCAGTCCAGGGGAGCCGCCGCCGCCGCAGCGGCGGCCAGGACCGAGTCCATGTTCTGCACGTAAGACCAGGACCGGAAGCCTCCCATTCAGTCCTCTGTCGAGAACAGTGAGCAGCTCCTTCGGCACAAGTACAGCTTACCCCATACCTCCTGGATGACGTGGAGGTCGAAATGCACAATGACCGCGCCCGAGTTTCTGGCCACAGCGCAATCGGGACGATGACGCGGGCCATACGATGCAGAGAGGATTACCTGCGGGGCACATCTCTGGAACCGTACGGACATGCCACTCTTAGAGAGAATGTTCGGGATACACAGCGACGTCCAGGATGGGAAGCACTTCACCGAAAGTGATTGTGCGCGGTTTTGTGCGGTGAAAGATACGACACTACGTCCCAAGTTCCAATGGAGGTGTAATTTATTTGCGCTGGACTCTGCTGCGTGATATTGAATTGAGAAATGGGAATGACAGGCACGAGATCTATCACAGGACTGCGCAAGAAAGAACAAAGGCAAGTTGGAGTGTTCAGTCAACGGCATTTCCAATACCAGTAAGCAAGAACACCGGGGCCGGTACTTATTTCGTTTCCAACGCAAATATACGAACCTACGTAACTCGCACAACGAACTGCCTCTGACTTGACCCCTTTCCGGGGAATGATCTGTCCATTATATTCAAAGCTATGGATCTGGTTCCATTTCCTGATAAATGCTCTCCTGGTGAACCAACGTAAAAAGTCAGGATAAAAAGGCTGATGAGGAAGTATACAAAAAGTTTACAGCAGCCTTGTCACTGCCTGTTAAGTGCAAGCAAGCACCTCCTATGGCATACCAGTGGTGAATGGCTTGTCACTATGTATGACAGCAAATAAAGTTACGCCAGCTTTGAAAACACCGGATGGGCTGTACAGCCACTCCCGGCCATGCTAGTCGTTCAAGTGTCGAGCTCGGAGGCTTGGCACGGTGATGCACTCACAAGTCGCCACGTCATGTAGTGTAAATTGCTATGAATGAAACTGTGCTTGTGCGCGACTGACAAAAAGTGCGTGTGGGAGACAAAACAGTTGCTGGCCGGAGTTCTTTGAAGCAGAACAACGTGGAAAAGCTAATTCCAAATCGCAACACTATATACAGCATCTCTTTAGGTAGCGTCAGCAACTATGCTGACTCTTCGGTCATCACTCTTGTGGTTATTCCTACCCCTCCTCCCGCCGAATTATTCGAGGAACTTTTAGGCGAGGGAAACTTGAGATCTGATTCAACACGGCTATACAAGGTGCAGTATCATGGCGCCATAATTTTACAAGAGACGAGGCAGCCCACATTCGAAAACGAACCAGGTCAACCAAGAACATTCACTCCACAAGCTAGACTACTCCGACGCCATGCTGTGGTTACCCAGAAAAGTAAACATAGTGGTGTTGCGCAGGGACGTTTGTTGATGTGTGCCACGAAAGAGAAGTTCAGATAGGCTCGCTCCTCGCACCAAAGTCCATATGACCAGACGTCTTGAACAAGGATCCGGATGTTTCATGTTTTCAAGCCAACCCGACGGGAAGACAAAAGCAGGACTACGTGGAAGATGAAAGCGTGTTACTATAGACGTGGACTACCAACGTGACGACGACAACCCCGAACTGTTTTCCTGATGATCGTTCCAGTAGAGACGCTGGACATTCAGCGTGATGTGTGTTTGTGCGCCAGTGCAGTGTTTGTGCGGGACAAAGGGAAATATGACTCTCGGTTCAGAAAAACATTTTTTGCACGAAAATGTGGTTATATATACAATGTGCGCACGCGACAAGCTCTTCCTACTTTGTTTTTGTGTATAGATTCTAGTCCTTCGCTCTCTCAGACGAGAGCTCACGTCCCGTGCAATGACAGCACGAATGTTTTTTTTTTCTTGCCGCTGTCCCACCTTTCAAAAAGTCCGCGCAAACATGCACCACACTGATCGCCTGCAGATGCCTTTCCATGACGTCTTAAATAAGATTCGCATGCCGCGTGCCCGTAAAAGCACCTTCGCAGAGACTACTAGAGAATCAGAGAACGAACAAACATCACGAACTTGAGCTCCTGACACTTAGACCCCTTTGTTTCTTCAAGCTGACTGTACACCTTTTCGACGAAGGCTTCCTGGGTGCCGCAATAATCATGTCTGAACTGTGCACTGCCGAAGCAGGAACGTCAGCCTCAGTACTCGCTTTAGGCACTGCGCCGTGCTCCCGACCTGGTTGCAGAAATTAGGTGCCTTTTCTCATCTTCTAACCACTACCACCCACTCGCTTGCCACAATCCAGAAAGAAGGCGCTCACCGACTCTGTAAAGAAAAGCTTAACCAGTTCTTAGACCGGCTGGTTACCCAAAACTACAGACATCGTCCACGGAAAGAATGGCACTTTCTTTCTGAATTGAAGAACACAAAAGGCACGCTGCTGTTGCTCCTTCGGCAGTGCGAGGGGGGGGGGATTGTCAATAGGACCTTATTATAAGTGATCATTCATGAACAGTATAGAAAGTTGAAACCAATCACACTTTATTAACGTGATTACACCCTCCGCTCTTTTTTCCCATCGTTTACCATTTCTCCTTCTATAGCGTGGCGTAGCAAATGGTACAATTCTGGTTGACCCCATGACTTTTCCTCATTTTTGTAAATCCCACTCTTGCCGCACAATTCCTATGATCAGGGGAAAGGTTTTACCCTTCGTTTCACGGTACCGCTGCGATGTCATGTGCGAGGCATCTGCGCAGGCTGTCCAAGAAAACTGCAGTTTACACTCGACAGAGGAAGAGATCACAGTAATTAGAGTTGTGACCCTAAACAATAGCTGCAGATATATTACTCTCGTCCAAGGTTCAGCGTGAAAGTAGCACCAGTCGGCGCTGTCGGCAAGCGCACGAAGGAATTAGTCTCTTTTTTTTTTCATTGTTTCGTACGATCACCGCAGGGTCGAGGTGGTGCTGCCATCGCTGAAACGTATACAATTTTGCCTCTAGGGCTCAGTCATTTCACAGGTATATTAATACGACACTCTTCGTTGCTTGGCCAAGTTTCTCACCTCTCATGTCTCTGTACCATTGGTTTTCAAGAATGTGAAGCAACAATAATGGAGCGATATGAAGTCAAACCGGATTATAACGAAATCACTCGGGTTCGCTTTAATGGTAAGCGCATGCGCTGGCCTAGGAAATATATTGTCGAGAAGAGCTCTCATGATAAACGTTCGACGTACAACTGGAAGTTTACACAAATTGGTAGATGCTTACGTAGTCTCAATTTTTCCCGTGAACTTAAACCGAGGAGCGTGCAGTGGAAAACTGTATGGCATCCTAAAGTGTGGCCTCCGTGATTAGCTCTGGCAACGGCGTTCTTCCGGGGCTAATCACGGAGGCTAAGCGTAAAACTCGCTGTTCAGCTTTGACAAAACTTTGATGCTAAATCAAATTTGCTATAATCTAATTCGTACTTACCTGCTGAGAAGACAAAAGTTATTTGTGACTCAATTGACGCATCCTTACATTTCTTTTTCGCTTACGAAGGCTTGGAGTCATTTGCGGCTGTGCAAACAAAATTTCGCCAACACTCCCGTCCAGCCGAGCGGACGAATTGTATCAGCGTTCGTGACATGAATGGACTGAGATAATGGGACAGGAAAATATTTTTTTTTTCTTCGAAAATCTCGTGTACAGAAGAAACAGCTCCGAATGTTGGTGAATGTGGTGGTACGTTCAGGGTTCGCGTTGACACTTCTTGAGCTTTTTTTTTTTTTTCAATTTTACTTTTGAGGTATACCGACTTGTAAAAGTGACGACACCAAAACGCTTCTTTCTGTTCGACTTAGAGTTTCTGCGCCTGTTCTTGTTCATTGAATTCCTGCCTCTCTTTCATTGTTACTAAAGGAATCCAGATTTGAGATTGCGACGTAAGGTAATATGCCGAGGCGTAACGTCTTTCTGTTATGAAATATTGTGTTCGTCTTTTTTTTTTTTTGCTGACTCCCGTGAATACTGTGTGCCCTACACACCGTAGGCTCCTCTTAATTTTTAACCACGAAATAGGAAATCTACACAGCCGCATCATTTTAAACGGAGAAGGATGTTCATTAAGTGCTAGCTATTTTCGTTGTCGAATCCCTCGTACCAGCCAGAACGCAATCGTTGGTCGGAGCATATTAGTTGACCTCTGTGTTCGAAGATGGCCCTACCAACGCTTTAGTGCGCAAGTCTGCGTCACTGGCGTTCCGTCTGTGCCGCTAACGGCGACACTGTTACAAACATGGCAAATCTCTCTGGAACCTCGGCTTCTCGAAGCGAAGATGCAGCGATAGATTACGTTCCTCTCGACACGTACACAAAAACAACCTTTGGGTACCGTTGCCTAGTAGCAAATACATCTACTGATGAGAGAAGATCCCTGTGACACTACATTTACGTCGTTAAGTCACCATCGAAGTCTTCACTCGGACAGTAAGAATTGGAGTTTCTCTTGATTTCATGACATTTTTCCTCGCTCTATCCATTCAGCTTTTCTGTTACGGCGTCTTTCTGCCGAAGAAAGAGCAGATATGGATTGAAAAAGATACCCTGTAGGTTTATTCGGGCCTGTTTGGAGTTTGTCTTCGGGTATTCCTTTGATCAGCGAACTGCTGAAAGTGCAACATGAAGCTCTGACGTTGCAGCAAATGTGTGACGGTAAACTATCAATTCTTTCTTTAGAAAGTTAGAAGGCCAGCGATAAGGTATAGGGGGCGCATCGGCCATACTGTGTGGGTCAGTGACGAATAGAGTATGCGACGAGTCGTGCACGTGCGTCCAATATAAATAGATTTACGAGAGTTATATATGGAGTTTTGCGTGTGTGCCAGCACGTCTCTGTCAAAAAACAGTGTACATGCTTCTTCTTCCATATTCTTTTTTTTTTTCGTCTTGTAAATAGGGAAATGATAGTATAAATAAATGGATGGGTGAAAACGATCTCTAGTTTGTTTGTCTTGTTTCTCTTCTTGCTCATTTATTTGTGCATGTGTGTGTGCGCTGGATGCGCCACTTCTCATTTAAGAAATTTCACACAATTTTTGTGTTAGCGAAAAAAAAAAACGAAATGAGGAAATTAGTGAGAATGGATCACCAGCTTAGAATAGTGCCTAACATTCAATCAATAGAAAAAGATAGCTAAGTATATAAATGGAGACAAATACTCATCCATTCTTCTTCCAAATACGTCAGTATAGACTAAAAGCTTGAGATATTAGGGAAGATACAGGGTTTTTCTTCATTCAGACTGTGTGTCATTTAGTATGGCATGTCGGATGACGTGCTCTATACAGAAACGCTGCTGTAACTATAAAGTTAAGGCGTAGTTTACATGTCATGTTTTTCAACACCACAACCACCACAGTGATACCAGAATTAAAATCGCGATGTTGAGTGATAACCGAGAAGTAACTGAGAAAAGACGCCCATGTAGCTATGTCAGTTGGGGCTTGCTTCAAGACATCTTGAAAAGGAAGGAGCACCACCACAAGAGGGTAGCTATTTACGCAAGTGAGAAGCACCCACCTAATAATATCGTCTCTTGTGGCAATTCGTAGGCTAACTTGGTGCAGAGCGATAACTCGAACTATGGTTAAAAAGACGACCCCAACCCAGCCACGACAGACCCTTGATGGTTGAGGCACGGTTGAGGGATATCCAAAGTCGAGGCACGGAGCAAAAAGTGCCCGTATAAAACAAAACCGCCGATCACTACTTCTATATATCGCAGTGACACTGAAAAAGCATTTGAAATACGCTTCATATGGTTGCGTATACAGACGACAATGGAGGGATATTAGTCAACCTATAGATCTCTAGACAGCCCAAGCAGCGCCCACAAAAGACCAGCAGCATCCTGCGACTTCAGAAAGGGAAGGGCTTGACCTCGTCACCGCTAAAAGAAAGCAAGGAAAACTTTTGTTGTGGGACAGATCTTGAGACGGTAAGTACATGCATTGTTTACTGCACTAACGAAACGCCACAAGAGGACCGCAACCAATGGCAGCATGACTGCTCAAGTCAGTGACACGAAGAGAACAGATCTGTGTATAGCTCCGACGGTCCGATCGATAGGGATCCCTCACGTCTTTTCTGGACATCGTCCTCTATTCTTCTCCCAATCCCCAGTGCAGGGTATCAAACCGAGCTCGGGCCGGGCCAACCATCCAGCTTTTTGTATGTGATATTATTCCTCTTTATCCGAACCCTGAGCATGCGCGAGAAATACGCTCGATGTACTTGCGAACAGATCTCATTGCGTTATTGAGTTGGCATGCATAGCAGCAAATGCAGATCGTCTAGCGTGGTGCGGGAACGCGGTATCTTGGGACGTGTTCCAATACTCACCGTAGACGGCTAAATAGACAGCTAAATTGACAGCGGCCATTTTAAGTCACATTGCAATTCTCACGTAGCCGGCAAAATAGACAGCTACGAGAAGACCGCATCGTAGACAAATACGATGCAGGCTACTTTGCTGTCTAAACAAGGCGGCGGCTCAGCGAATCGCTCAGATAGATCGGATCTCGCCGGAATGGTCGTCTGCACACAAGCTGACGCTTTCCCAGACGCTCAATGTGGGTAATGTTTATTTGTTTTCGATTTCAACACGAAATAAGCCAGGAAAACGCAACTGATGCGTTTGTTTATTTTAGCTTTTTCTTCTCGACGTGAGGTGGCGCATCGTGGCGCAAAAGCCGACCGGAAGTGTTCCCGTTCTCGGACAGCGCGGGCTCGGTGCTGTCTCCTAAACAATCTGCGTAGACTGTCTACGTGCTGTCTAAGAATTGGAACAGATGCTTGCCATAAACAAACGGTCGCGCCATACCGGGGTAACGGAAGTAAGATTAATACCGGGGGGGTTCTACGTCCCAAAACCTCGGCGTGACTGCGATAAACGCCGTTATGGAGGGCTCCGGGTATTTCGATCATCTGGTGTTCTTTAACGCGCGCCAACATCGCACGGTTCATGCACGAGCATCTAATATACCATGTCGCCTCCATCGAAATACGAGCGCCACGGTTGGAATCGAACCCGTGAGTTTCAAGGTCAGCAGCCGCGCGCCATAACCACCACTCCGCCGTGGCGTGTATACCCGTTGTAAGGAACGTCCGAGGCACTTTGAGCTAAAAGCGTCGAGTGAATAGAACGACACAAGAAAAAAAAACTTCGGCAGATCCCACGTACATTGGGAGTCGGTGTTGTGTGAAGCATCCGGAGAGAAGGCGAGTGTTGCAGTTTCTTTCGTTGCGCGAAACGGTACGAAATGACGCTAAAATTATGTACTGAATTTGTACTCACTGACATGTTGAACAGTTGCATATGTTTTATTTAGGAAGTGGTCCTCAGTTGCGTAACGACGCTAACGGTAAGATAGCATTTGCAAAACCAGAAGTGGCATAGCTGATGTGTGCAACTCGTGCTTGCTAAGATGGTAGCCCAGTGTAGTACCACGTGAATCAGTTTCTGTACGTGTCGCTTAGGTACACAATAGTCTTAGGCCCACTAGACACCTCTATTATAGGAGTGTATGTGTAATCTTCCTAAAATTAAACAGCCCACACTGCATCACTACGCCTGCGTAGGGTCTGTTTAAAATGGAGATCCGAGACCTGGCGTATAGTCCTGTGGTACAGTACTTCACTGCCACGCAAGATCCCGGAGTCTGATTTCAGCTGTGACCCCGACATTTATTCTTTGCACTGATCGGATCAACGCTGCCGGTGTCAGTTTTTCCTTAATGTTCATGCGTTAAAATTACCCATTACTGTTCGTGCCATTCCTGGACAGATATAAACTGCCGAATCCTGAGCCAAACCTGTGGCTCAGGATTTGGATATATACCCGCGTGCGGCTATATATGTGCCACACGTCTGGCGGAAATATTTGACAAGGCATCTTACCTACCACGTTAATTTTAGTTTACCCCAAATTATCGGGGTGATCGTGCGAGCATCATGACGTATAGGCTGCTACATGAATATAAAAACACACGCACACATTATATATATATATATATATATATATATATATATATATATATATATATATATATATATATATATATATATATATATATATGATCACCCCGATCATTTCGGGTAAACAAAAATTAGTGTGGTAGGTAAGATGGCTTAACGAATATTATGGCTGGATAATAGATAGATAGATATATAGATATATATATATAGAACGGGCGTACAACATTTTTACCTCCATCGGAAATGCAGCCGCCGCAGCCGGGATTCGATCCCGTGACCTCCGGGTCAGCAGCCGAGTACCTTAGCCACTAGACCATCACAGCGGGGCGCCAGCGCGACTGTCATTAACAGGACAATAGTTATTGCGCGAGAACAAAACGACGACACAGAGACAAGAAGGACACGAAAGACGACACGAGTGGTCCTTCTTGTCTCTGTGTCGTCGTTTTGTTCTCGCGCTGTAACTATCGTCATGCCATACCAACTAGCCCAAGCTGCCACACTTCTAAGTCACTAATAGGTTTGCGGCAGTTGTGCCGCGGTTCTGCGGTTGGGTGCTTCCATTTTTTTTTTCTTAAGTTGCGACGGAGTGTAGAGGCAAGCTCGTTAGACGATATTCACCTCACCGACGCCGTCTTATGAATCATCGTCTAGGCACTGCTGCTGTATGGCGTACACGTTACCCACGCATCGTTGTAGACACCTATACGTCCATACTATACTGCGCCTTTAATTACGGCGGACCAGCTTTCGGTGGGGTCACGCATCGCGGCTCTCTCGCCACCTGTGCCACACTTGATCCCGCGTGTTTTACGACCACATCGCACGCTCCGGTCGCTATAAACCGCTGTCGGCGTTTTAATTCAGAATGATCGATGCCTACATATTTGCTGCCGTAATTCACGCGATACCAGCTGCGCGCTGCCAAATTTATTGTCGCGCGCGTCGATAATTTCGCGACGGAAAATTTCGGGCAGCTGGTTTCGTTTTTTTATGGGATGCGCTTCACTAGACGACACGACTAAAGTTGTGTGTCTCTCGACCTACACTAAGAAAAGCGTAATGAGGGCGACAAATAGCTGAAGACAGAGATGTATAGATAGATGCCCACAGTGCTTGCAGAGCGTTAAGAAATACGTCGCATAAACAAGAAATTGTCAGCTCCACTTTCAGCCATCGCAGGAACGAAGTCTCTCTTACACGGAGAACATACATAAATGCTCTATTCAGTAGCGATTGCTCATTTCCATAACGTCAGACACCTTTAAGGTGTTTGAAATTGTTTGCACCCTTGCAAAGACACAACTTTGCGTTTTTGAATTAAGGTCGGGACATGAACGGTTCCAGGAAATTCGGACCTGGATTCTGACAGCACTGCTTAGCCAAATGTACTCTTTTAAGTAATAGTAACGACGAAGGTTCAACTATTAGTACGCACAGTATCCGCATTAGTTAAGAAGAAGTGCGTACAGTTGGAGCGCGAGCCACCAGCGCGACTGATTGATTGATTTGATTTGTGGGGTTTAACGTCCCAAAACCAGCATATGATTATAAGAGACGCCGTAGTGGAGGTCTCCGGAAATTTCGACCACCTGGGGTTCTTTAACGTGCACCCATATGTGAGCACACGGGCCAACAACATTTCCGCCTCAATCGGAAATGCAGCTGCCGCAGCCGGGATTCGATCCCGCGATCTACGGGTCAGCAGCCGAGTACCTTATATAGCCACTAGGCCACCGCGGCGGGGCGCCAGCGTGACTGTCATTAACAGGACGATGATTATAGCGCGTATTTGACGTATGCATGTGGGAGCTAATCTAATCTTCAATCTAATCCTCTAGTTACTAGATTGAAGTAACCAGAAGAATAAGAATGGGGTGGAGCACATTCGGCAAGCACTCTCAAATTATGACAGGTAGATTGCCACTATCCCTCAAGAGGAAGGTATATAACAGCGG